CTAAGCAACAATAGTGTAACTACCACAGATTGCCTTGTTTTGTATATTGAGTAGCTCGGGGATGAGCTAATGGGAAGGTGGGATGAAGACACTGCATTGTATTCCATTTGTACTTTTTGAATTTCAGACCATGTAAATAGAATACCTATTTAAAAAATAAGATCAACAAAATTTTAGTAGCAAAGTAACACCTGGATTTGCTAATACCTTTGGAAAATAATGAAATAAAGTAAACATTTTTGCAAGCACTACTCTTGGGCTGCCTTCTGGGCTACACTCCCACCCACAGGGGAATACTGCACAGGTGCAGCCCTGTCGGCCTCACTGTGCCCCACCCACAGTGCAGTAGTACACAGCAGTGTCTTTCAGGGAAGCCCAGGGCAGCCTCAGCATGCTAGACTTCCTGTCGGCAGCGATCAACAGAGATGCCACTTCATTTGCCATGTCCGTATTATATCCTTGAATAACAAATTGTGGCCCCTGGTTGTGGATCTGTTGGTACCAGAATATATACTCATTTATAGCAATGTTGGAGTGGTTACAGGGTATGTTCACTTCTTGTCCTTCATCTGAGAGCATGAAGGTGGGCTGGGTGGTCTTAGCAAGGCTCAAAGTACCTGTGGGAGTAAAAACACAATATAGCTCTTACCCTGAAACCAAGTTGAGTTGAAGGCCCAGCTATGCACCCTCCATGTTCTCTCCCACAGTCAATCTACCTTCACCTCTACTTCACTACCATTTACTTCTCACTGGGTTCCAGAACAGTTTTTATTTATTCTGAGGGAATCCCAGGAAAACTGTTCAGAGGCGGAAGGTCTAATTTCTCTGCCTCATGGATGGACCTAGGGTTTAGTAACAAAACATCTTATTGCCCTAAGACACACCTCAAATAAATGCTGAGAAAAAATAGGACCCCAAAGCCACCCCTCAACATCCTGGATAAAGAATGGTCACAGGCAACGTGGTAGATTCCTGTCTAAACCCAGATCCCAACGCTTCTTAATCCCAAAATAACTCACCCAAGATCAAGAGCACCGTCACTCTTGTCACCTGCCTCATATTCTAGATGTAAACCACGACCCAGGGCCGGCCTAGGTTCTGTTGCTGAGTTTGAGCCAGGGAACAGGCACAGCAGCAACAGCCGGAGGCCACATGAGCTACTCTCGCTGAGAGCTGACCCTGGAGCAGCCAATAGCAGGGCGACAGCTCCTCAGAAGGGGCTTCCCCTCAAGATTCCACTGAGCACTCAGGAAGAAGAGGAGGTAAAAACTTATAGCACAACAACATAACAGGCTGGATTTCCTTATAGATCTTTTCTGAGATCTAACCACTTACAGGTGGTTAATTCTGCACCAGAAGGTAGATTCCATCAGACTCCTTATTCCCCATCACCTTTCCACAGGCCCAGAGGGTGACCATCAATTGTAGTCAGTTTGACACCCATGCAGCTCTGAGAATAACTCTCGGACCTGGGACTTTATGCCCAGAAATCTCCCATGGATCCCCATGCAATCAGATGAAACAGTGAATCTTAATCTTATTCTGATTTTTTTTATATCTTAATCTTAGTCAACAAAAGAACAATTGCAGTTTAAACTGGACCTTTTGTGCCCGGCACCCTGGTATCTTCTTACCAACCAAGTTCACAACATCTTCTTCTCAGATCTCACTTAACAAATGTTAAACAAGGAAGTAAACCTTTTACTAGTCCCTTCTGGCCAGCTAGGGTAGGACATAGGATGGGGAATTATTCGCCAGACAGACAGACCTAAATCCAAGTCCCAGCTCTGCCACTTTGTGACCTTGGACAACTCACACCTCCAAACCTCAGTCTCTTCGTCTGTAAAATAGGGACAATAATACTTACTTCAGAGTCAGCCTAAGGCATATAGTCAACTGTAAATTATAGTTCCTTCTCATCTCCTTCCTTTCCATCTAAGTGACACACAAAGTACCATGGCCAATAGGAAGCATTGTATAGCATACATATGTATGTATGTTTGAATTATTATCATATTTTATATATAATTCATGTATGTAGTTTATAATATAATATATAATTTATATATATATATAATTATATACAACATATAATTTATTACATTGTAATTCATTCTTCTTTTAAGAAAGATACAATATAAACTTAATAACAGTAACACAAAAATTTAAAAACAGCCATTCAAGAAGAATCATGTTAATTGAAACACCCAATTGCAGTAATCAAAACATATTAGATACATTAATATGGAAAAGACAGTAGTGTGTTGAGTTCTTTGCTCATATAATATGGGAAAGAAAACTCTCTGGGAAATGTTTGGGAAGTATCTCAATGTATTCTGAGTGAGAATTTTTCCACTTTCCCATGCAAAAGTTTGGCGAGGGCTGATAACTTCTAGCAACAGTTTAAGAGTAGATATCACAGGGCATGGGATAAGTAACCCGCTTACCCTCAGTACTGAAGGGAAGAGGAAAAGAAGTATTTGAGAAGAATTCGGAGCTAAAGAAGCTAGGACACCTCATACAGACATAAAACATCAAAGGCTTCACTCTAGAATCTATTCATTGCAACAGTGATCCCGTGCAGCAAATAACTTAGGAGGAATGTTTCACAAAAGTCAGTAAGTATCAGACCTGTGCAACTTATGGAACATCCTATTCTTTTGTTAAATGCAGTGGCCAGTAGCTTGGCTCAATCAGGCGGACCATAGAATCTATTTTTTGCAATGGAATAAACATTTAATGAGCAGTTTGACTAATTGGATTGTAATCAATCCTCTGGACTTGCTAGTTGTGCAATTTTGTGCCAATCACTTATCCTCTGAGAAGCAGTTTCTTTATCTCTATAAAAATATTACAGGGCCTGGCAGTGTGGCTCAGTGATCGAGTATCAACCTATGAACCAGAAAGTCACAGTTCAATTACAGGTCAGGGCACAACTTGGGTTATGTGTTCAGTCCCCAATGTGGGGCATGCAGGAAGCAGGAGATTCATAATTCTTTCTCATCATTGATGTGTCTGTCTGTCTCTCCCTCTTTCTTCCTCTCTAAAATCAATAAAAAATATTTTTAAAAGGAAGATTATAGGAATCGATTAAATGAGCATAAGAAAGTTCTTTCTAAACTACAGTGTTCTACACAAATGCAACCTCTGTTAACATGTGTTTAACATAGCAAGCTATATTAATCACAAAATCAAATGATCTTATCTTTTCAGGCCAACAAATGGAACTTAAATTTTCTGTGTTGTCATCTATTATCTACTTAGGAAAATATTACTGGGTAGCAAGTAACTAGAGAAAGAAATACTAGAGGTTTTTCTATGCCCCAGCCTTTGGAATGAAAGTAATCATTAATGGTTCTTGTGTGCAACTTGGGTTGAATTTTGTCCTTTCCCCCAACCAGAAAAGAAAAAAAAGAAAGAAAAAAAAAAATATATATATATATGTTCGAGTCCTAATCCATGGTACCTCAAAATATGTCCTTACTTAGACAAAGATCTATACAGAAGTAATCAAGTTAAAACGAGGTTATTTGGCTAGACTATAATTCAATAAGACTGCTGTCCTTATAAAAAAAAAAAAGAGATATTTAAACACTGAAACAATGTTTGGACCCATGGAGGGTAGATGGCCATCTACAAGCCCAGGAGAGAGGCCTGGAACAGATGCTTCCCTCACAGCCCTCAGGAGGAATCCAGTGTGGCTAGTGCTCCCTTCAGCCCAGCCCGGAGGAGCAGAGACTCGGTGGGCATTCCTGAGCAGTGCACAGTATGAGGGCAGCTGAGCCCAGAGACTTGGGAAGGAAGGACATAGCACAAGAGTGCAGCTGCAGTTGTCGGTGGCATGACAGGCAGACAAACGACTCCACGGAGATCTGCTCTCCCTTAGCCGCCCCGAGTTCACCTCGCTTCACCCTGGGTATTGGGTTGCAGAGCACATTATCTGCAACCCCAGGAACTGATACTACAGAATCGCTATTTTCCCTGGGCCAAGGGTGCACTCTGAGATCGGTCCCAGGACAGCGGCACAGGTGGGAGCCTGTGAAGCTCTGAGGTCACCATTACTGGAGGAGAAAACAAACGGAGCGGGCAGTTCCCCCAGCCAGCCCCACCCCCATGCACTGCACCTACACGGATGGCAATGCCTGGCTGAGGAGCGGGGGAAGGTGGGAAGGTAGATGGTACTGGAATTTCAGAGCTAAAACACTGGTGTTTCAGCGCCATCTATTGGAAAATAAGAGAAAGACGTCTTTGTGTTAATGGGCTAGAGAAGTGCCACTCATACCTTTTCTTTTTGGGCCAACAATGGAACTTAATGTTTTTGTCTAGATGCCTAGATGGAGAAGGAATCCATCGAGTACCACGAATCACCACGGTAGCAAGGCAGATCAGAAAGAAAGAAGAAAATACAGAAAACAAACTTGAAGACATGGAATATGTGATATAAACGACAGAAAATTCAAGATTGCAATTCTGAAAATATTCAAGATGCAAGAAATACAGACAGGCAATTTATTGTGCCAAGAAAGCAAACCAACAAACAAGCCCTGGCCAATGTTGCTCAGTGGTTGGAGCATCGTGCCATGCACCAAAGGGTCATGGGTTCAATTCCTGCTCTAGAATATATACCTGGGTTGAAAGCTAAACCCCAGCCGGGTGGGGGCAGGTAGGGGAGGCAACCATGTGTATCTCTCACATTGAGGTTTCTCTCTCCCACTCTCTTTCTCTCTCTCCCTCCTACCTCCCTCCCTTCCACTCTCCAAAAAGAAATAAATGGGAAAATATCCTCAGGGTGAGGATTAACAAAAACAAACACAACAACTAACAAAATGAGAACTTTACCCAAGGGACTGAAACTTTAGAAAAAAGAACCAAACAGAAATTCTGGAGACGAAGAACTCAATAAAAGAGAGTAAGAATGAATTAGCCCCTGGTTGTCATGGCTCACTAGTTGAGCATTGACCTATGAACTAGGAGGTCAAGATTGGATCCCCAGTCAGCACATATGCTGGGTTTTCCCAGTGGTTAGAGGGTCAACCCATGGACTGAAGGGTCTCAGATTTGATTCTCAGTCAAGGGCACATACTTGGGTTGCAAGTTCACTCCCCGACCCAGTGGGTGCTTGATAGGCAGGCAACTAGTAGATGAGTCTTTCTCACATAAATGTTTCTCTCTCTCTCTCTCTCTCTCTCTCTCTCTCTCTCTCTCTCTCGCTCTCTCTCTCTCTCTCTCTCTCTCCCTCTCTCTCCCCTCTCCCTCTCCCTCTCCCTCCCCTCTCCCTCTCCCTCTCCTTCTCCCTCTTCTTCTCCCTCTCCCTCTCTCTCTCTCCTCTCTTCCATCTAACTCTCCCTTCCTCCAATTCCTTCCACTCTCTCTCTCTCTGAAGATCAATGAAAAAAATATCCTTGGATGAGGGCTAAAATAAATAATAAATATCCTCAGGAGAGGGGGGGAAAAAACACAAAAAAAAACCTCATAGACACAGAGTGTGGTGGTTACCAGAGAAGACGCTGTGGAGAGATAGTATCTGGTAAAGAGGCCAAATACTGTGTATGATGATGGAAGATGATATGACTTTGGGTGGTGGGCACACATTGTAATAGACAGATCATATATCATAGAGATGTACACTTGAAATCTTTATGAACATCTTAACCAATGTCACCCCAATAAATTTAATTTAAAAATTTACATAAGTTATTTCACATTAAAATTTTAAATAGTAAAACATACAAAAAACAGAGGTACTTAGATACACTATCAATTATCGCTCTCATTTTTTTAAATTATAAACACATTCAGGCAAGAAATTGTAACTATTTATGCCAAGACTGGATGTCCCTTGCATTTTCAAATATTTGACAATAAATTACTATTGCTTTTATTGTAATAAGTAAATAAATATGACAACCTGAGCTAGGGATAAGGTAATACACAGTGTGGGCTTCAAACAGTCATGGCAGGATAATAAGAACAGCCTTCTAGTAAATAAAATTGCCTTTAGCTAAAGTAATCTACATACCACTGAAGCACATCTTGGGGTGTCTCATTCTGAACCACCATAACACACACACACACACACACTGACACACACAGAGACACATGCACACACACACATATTTTGCACATATTTGGGTACTTCTGAGGTTTTCAATATATGTTATTTCCCAAATATTTTTGTTTGTCAATAAATATACATAAAATTTCAATTATAATGACCTCAGATTATTTCATGATAGAGATGCACTATAATTTATTAATCAACTTTCCTAGTATTAAATGTTTGGATTTTATTTAAAAAAAATACTATGATAAATACCTTTGTAAATAAATCTTTATTTAAACTTGCAATTCTTTCTTTCTTTCTTAATTTTTTAAATTTAATTTTTTTATTTTTTTTATTTTGTTCCTCCCAGAAACTAGAAGGTGAGGACCCACTTGCTCTTGAACATTTTTTTTAAATATATACTTTTTCTTTATTTCAGAGAGGAAGAGAGAGGGAGAGAGAGAAAGAAAGAGAATCATGAACTGGCTGCCTCCTGCTGGAGATTGAGCCTGCAACCCAGGCATGTACCCTTGACTGGAATCAAACCCGGGACCCTTCAGTCTGCGGGCCGACACTATCCACTGAGTCAAACAGCTAAGACTTAATTTTATTTTTAACTAATGGTCCAGTGCATGCATTTGTGCACATTGAAAGAAAATTAATTAGAAGGTGGCCGGTGGGGTAGGATTGGATGAGATGGGCTGGACACGCCCTGGAGCCAACTTCCCACAGTCGCTCCCTGGCCAACCACACCTGGGGCAGTGCCATAGCTTGAAGGGCATCTGCCGAGTGAGCAGAGTCCCTCTAGCTGCTAGCACCTGGGGTCCCTTGGCCTGGCCTGGGAGGATTGGGCCGAAACCGGCTCTTTGACATCCCCCGAAGGGTCCAAGCTGTCTGAGGGCACTCTGCAAAGTTGCTATCACTGGGCAGCTCCTGCATTGAGGGTCTGACCCCTAGTGGTCAGTGTGTGTCATACCTACCAGCGGCTGGTTGAATGGTCAGACAGTCGCTTAACCTTTACAGTTAATATAGTACACTTTACAGTCAATATTATTTTGTATTAATTTCAGGTGTACAACATAGTAGTTAGACAATCATATACAAAATGTCCTCCCCAATATTTCCAGTACCAAACTAGCACCATCCATAGTTAATATAGTATCTAATTATTTCTTTTAACTAGCTTCTATAGAGGGGATTTCCTGGATTAAAGAATAAAATTATTTTAAGCATTAATTTACTCAGTCAAGCAGTATTTGTGGGATCCCTACTTGAGTTAAAACCCAGCAGGCACTGCTTTTCAGGCTCCCCCACCCCAGCTCCTCAACAAGAGAAGCGTCACTTGAGTCCTGAAAGCAGACAACAAGCTCTGAAGGTACTAATTAAAGGTTACGGATGCACAGAAACACAACAAAAAAAAACCAATTAAGCAATAATTAATGGTAGTTTAAACACTAATCTGAGATATGATGCAGGGTCTCGGGACTGGTAATTCTTCCTTAACAGCTATGAACAGTATCTTAATTCATGTCTTGAGTTGTTGTTCAGGAACTAAAACCCCCACCAGAGGGAAGCTGCTGACAACAAAGCACAGAACATTTTTATTAGCAGATTCAGATGTGTGGGGTTTTTTTTTAGTTTTTCCGTAATAAGAAGCCAAAACTAGATATGTTAGTAGAGGTAGCTAGTTATTAATATAAGGAAGGAAGGAAAGACAATGGAATAAAAAATAATAATAATCTTAGCCCAGCCAGGGTGGCTCAGTGGTTGAGCATTGACCTATGAATCAGGAAGTCATAGTTTGATTTCCAGTCAGGGCACATGCCATGGTTTCGAACTTGATCCCCAGTAGAGGCCATGCAGCAGGCAATTGATCAATGACTCTCTCATCATTGATGTTTCTATCTCTCCTCTCTTCCTCTCTCTGGAATCAGTAAAAACATGTGTGTGTGTTAAATAAGCTTAATAAGCTAGAGAGCTGAAGCAAGTATCAGGAGAGCATTCCATCGAGTTTGCTGGGAAGCTATAGCATACACAGACTCATTCAGACACTCCAGAGACTGCCAACGAGGATACTTACTCCGCAGAGTGGAGAGGAAAATCCCAGGGGTGCTGCCAGCTTGGTACCAAATTCTCAGGGGGAGAAAAACGGGACATTTCTCTGCTGGGCTCATGCCCAGTAGAAACCAGATAATGTAAAGAATTTTTGGACATGCACAGTAAGAGCCAGGGTGATGACATAGAGGGGCAGAGCCTCACCTGGGAAGAACTGAAAAGGTAATCAAGTTGAATAGAGGAACCCAAGTAGGTCCAGAAAAGGAACTTGGGCCCAGTGCTTGACTTGGGCCCAGGAAGAATCAGAAAGTTGTTAAATAATTTGAGTGATACCTATTCTTTACATTGAACCAAGACAATATATAGAGAATTAATAGGAGCCTCTTAGCAATTGCTGATAGAGCCTGCCCACCTTCTTCATCCTCAAGGGTGTATTCATTCCCTGAACCCCCAATAAAATCTTGCTTTCACGTTTAAACTTCTCCATGTGTCTTCTGTTTGAAATTCTTTTCTCTTGGCACTGCAAGAGAACTTGCTCCCACTGACAGCACTATAACAGGATCAAGAACTGAGCTACACACTAGTTACTCAAGGATAAGACCCAGTGGTCTAGGGAGAAGAAACAATTTTAAAAGCAGCTATAGTCCTTGTGATAATTGCTATGAATGGGAAAGTACAGAGTCCTATAGGAACCATTCAGGAAGTGAAACTGCTGTGGTTGTGGGTCTCCAGGAAGACTTCCAGCAGGAGTGACACTTGGGTTTAAATCTAAGGGAAGAGGAGGAATGGCCCCGGTAAAGACTGGACCCAGCAGGAAGACGCAGAAGGAGCAGACCTGAAAGCAACAGAAGATGGCTCCGGGATAGATGGCGGCAACACTGATAGAGAAAACAAACAAACAAAAAATAAGGAGCAGGTTTGACTTGTTTTGTGTTATTTTGTTTGGGGAAAAAGAGAAGGTGAAGAGCTCAGGTTTGTACCATTTATCAATAGTCTGAGCTACAATACTTCTAGATTCTCATAGAGAACCCAGAATCTCACTGTACGATCTGAAAAGGATCAGGGAGGACTGAATTTACCGTAAAATGGTTCCCATGATGGTGGTGTAATGCAGAATGAAATGCTTGCTCTCTTTGACTCCTAATTCTAGTCAGCATTTCTCCCAAAGCTAAAAATATGCTAATTAAAGGATTTGGGTTTGAAGTTTGAGTTTTTGCAAGAAAAACAACTTGTCAGAAGATGCCTCTCCTAAGCAGGTGGGGATATACATACAAAATAATGACTTGTGTATTAAAGATTGACAGGACCCTCAGTACCAGACTCAGATCAACAGGAATCAACCAAACAAAAACATTTAGAGATTTCGAGCTTATCCTTGATCCCTGTTGGCTGTTAGCTCTCTATAGCATTCACCCACCTATGGGAAACCAACACTTGTCAATACTGTCATGAAAGTTCATCAAGGAATATGGGAGGCCCGATGGACCTTGGGTATTAGCAGGGCTGACACTAGGCTCCGATTGTGTTGAGATAGTGGTGGCTCAAAGCAATCTCCTTACCTGATAACCTCCAAGTAAATGTTTACTGGACCTTACTGATCTTTGGTCTGTCTGCTACCTGTTTTTATTGAGGGCAAGATGTGTATCTAAAACTGAATAAAAAATGGATAAGGCCAGGTCTTGGTGTGGCTCTTTAAGAAAGAGGCTCCACCTGGCCCCCAATGCTTTCTAAATTCATATTTCTTGTATAGTATTTTCATTTGTGCCTCAGCCCCTCCTTCAAATCCTGAACCCCACCTCAAAAGTTATGGCACCCACCCATTACCCTGCCCCTCCTCCCTCCCTTAACATAAAGTCCCCTGAATTCTGGACTCTCTTAAGATGAATTTGCAGAAGCGTTAATGCACCCCCCCATCTTTAGATGATGCCTTCTTAACCAATAAACCTTCCTTTCTCCAAATTCTGCCTTTTTTTTTTTAACTTATTGGGGTGACACTGGTTAACAAAGTTATACAGGTTTCAGGGGCACAATTTGACAACACATTATCTGTACACTGTCCTGTGTGCTCATCACCCCAAGTGAAGTTTCTGTCCATCACCATTTATCTAATTTATACCCCTACATCTCCCCTGGACACCCCTTCCTCAGGCAATCACCCTCTGCTGTGCAAGTCCATGCGTTTTTTCTCTTAATATTTTCTTTTTTTGCTCAATCCCTCTACCACCCAGTTTTCCACTCACCCAACAGTTATCATCAGACTAAGAGTTTGTCCCTATTCTGCTTGTTAGTTCATTCTATTCATTAGATTCCACATATGAGTAAAATCATATGGTGTTTCTCTGACTAGCTTATTTCACTTAGCATACTAGTAATGCTCTTCAGGTCCACCCATGTTGTTGCACAGGGTAAGATTTTCTTTTTCTTTTTTTCTTTTTTTTAACTACTGCATCATATTCCATTGTGTAAATGTACCACAACTTTTTAATCCACTCATCTACTGAGAAACTCTTGGGCTGCTTCAAAATTTTAACTATCCTATCTACCGTGTTTCCCCAAAAATAAGACCTACTTACAGGTTTCCTTCTGAGTGAAATAAAAGGCATCCCCCCGAAAATAAGGCCCCCACTGGGCTAAACATGAGAGATTTGGTCCACTGATTCTGAAAGAAATAGAGTCACAAGAAATTCACCAGGAAATTCAGGAACTGGATTGTTATGATGATGTTCCAGAAGATGATGACATGATTGTCATTGAATAAATGAGTAAATTCTTGATACTGTAGGATTCAGTTTGTCTGGTTTGTGTTGACAACTAGCGTACTACCATACCATATACAGGTAATAAATTTCCTTTATTTTCATTTAAGAATAAATGTGTACCATATTCTTCTTCATGGAAAAATAAGACATCCCCTCAAAATAAGACCTAGCGCATCTTTGGGAGCAAAAACTAATACAAGACACTGTCTTATTTTCAGGGAAACGGGGTAATAGAAGGGTAATATGCAAATTAACTGCCACTCCATCACAAAGATGGAGGCACCCAGTCCTCTCAGTCCCGCCAGAGTCCTTTAGTCCTGGGGGGGCAGCCACTGAGAGCAGGCAGCATGAGTGGCCTGGCGGGATGCTTGCTTCATCGCCACAGCAGCAAGGCAAGTGTTCCACCCCAGCCACAGAGAGCCTCTGGGCAGCAGGCAGAGTGGCCACGCCCCACAGAGAACTACTGGCACATGAATTTGTTACTAGTTATTTACTAGTTGTAAATAATACTGCAATGAACATAGGAATGTACATATTGCTTTTTAATTAAATTTATTGAGTTAAATTGGTTAATCAAATTATACAGGTTTCAAGTATATAATTCTGTGATACATCATCTGTATATTGCATTGTGTGCCCCACTCAAAGTCAAATCTTCTTCTGTTACTATATATTTGACCCACTTTACCCTTTACCATTCCCCACCCTCTCCTCTCTGGTAACCACCATACTGTTATCTGTGTCTATGATTTTTTTGTTTGTGTTTGTTCATTTGTTGCTTTCAGTTTTATATCCTACATATGAGTGAAATCATATGGTTCTTGATTTTTTTTGCCTGACTCATGTCACTTAGAATGATATTCTCAAGATCCATCCATATTGTCGAAAGGGCAGTATTTCATCTTTCTTATGACTGAGTAGTATCCCAATGTGTATATGTACCGCATCTTCTTCATCCAATCATCTATCATAGGACACTTAAGTTGTTTCCACCTTGGCCACTGTGACTAATGCTGCAATAAGCATAGGAGTACAGATAGCTTTGAAAATAAATGTAATCAAATATTGGGGATAGATGCCAAGAAGAGAGGTTCCTGGGTCATATGGTAACTCTTATTAATTTTTTTTTCATTATTAAAAAGTGTATTTATAAATTTTTATCTTACATGTATTTTTTTGTTATCAGCTTACATTTTATTTATTTATTTTATTAAATTTATTGGAATAACATTGGTTAATATAATTATAGAGGTTTCAGGTATGGTTTTCTGTGTTATAAGATCTGTATATTACACTGTGTGCACACCACTCAAAGTCAAATCTTCTCCCATCACCTTATATTAGCCTCTTGTACCACCTCCCCCCTTCCCTTTGGCAACCACCATACTCTTGTTTGTATCCACAAGTTTCAGTTTTATATCCACAAATGAGTGAAATCATATGATTCTTAGCTTTTTCTGATTGACTTATTTCACTTAGAATAATGTTCTCATATATTAATACATAATGGAATACTACTCGACCATAAGAAAGAATGATAAACTGCCATTGGCAACAACATAGATGGACCTTGAGAATATTATGCTAAGTTAACTCTATTCCCACTTTTTGAGGAACTTCCTTACTATTTTCCACAGTGAATGTATTATACCAGTTTACATTCCCACCAGCAGTGAATGAAGGTTCCTTTTTCTCTACAACCCCTCCAACATTTATTACTTATCTTGTCAATAATAGTCATTCTAACAGGTATGAAGCAATTTCCATAATAGCTAGTAAAATTGAACATCTTTTCATATATCTGTTGGCAATTTATACACTAAGTGGTCAGATTATTATGATCTCCAAATGCATAATAATCGGGCCACTCAGTATATATCTATCTAATAAAAGAGAAATATGCAAATTGACCATCACTCCAACACACAAGATGGCTGCTCCCATGTGGTCAAAGATCCTACCCCCATGTGGACACAAGATGGCCACCACAAGATGGCCAGCAGGGGAGGGCTTTCACTGTATCCCATAGATTTTGGGTTGTTGTGTTCTCATTTTCATTTATTTCAAAGTATCTTTTAATTTCTTCCTTGATCTCATTGTTAAGCCATTCATTGTTTAATAACATGTTGCATAGTCTCCATGGTCTTGTTATTGATTTCCAGTTTCCTACCATTATGGTCAGAGAAGAGGCTTGATATGATTTCAATCTTCTTAAATTTGTTGAGATGTTATGTGTGTCCTAACATGTGATCTATCCTAGAAAATGTTCCATGGGCACTTGAAAAGAATGTATACTCTGCTGCTTTGAGGTGAAAAGTTCTGAAGATAATTGCTTCTAAACCACCTTGAACACACAATGGTCATCCACTTTCTCTAGCACTTCTTGCACATTTCCATGCCCTTACAGATTTATGTGCAGATAGTTATTTTTCTGATCAAGTTACTATACACACCCCATCTGAACTACATTCTGACTATTCTACCCAACTCTTCAATTTATACTGAAATGATCTTCAAGTTCACAGAAAATAAACATGAAGTGTTCCACCAAACTATTGTAGATGAGGCACAGTGATGTCCATTTGGAGATCTGTCAAATGTGAGATAGGTGAGCTAACTGGGAATATTCCCAAAATGGTGCAGGTGAAGGTCTCCACTCTCCTACAAGGTTCCCGCCCTCCAAGAGGTACTGTTCTTCACTCCTTCTTATTTGACTCCATTGAGACACGCACATCACAACACAAGGGCACCAAAGGAGCTTCAACCTGAGGCTCCAGGTACTTCTCTAGGACTGCCTGCTTCCTTCCCAAGAAACTATTATTTATAAACACCAGAACTCTAGTAATGTCAATGAATTTCCAGGAGACAACAAGGAATGATTCATGTAAAATCATGAAAAGCCTTTTGCAAACATCAGACTATGGAATACAGATTATGTTCAGAAACATCAGAGAAAATTCAACACAAAATAAAGTTGGAACAAGGAGAAAAATCAATGTTTTTTATATGAAACTTTAACACATAAAACAGTCCAACTAAAAGAAAAATCAGTCTTTTTCACATGAATTAGAGAAATCTCAAAAAAAAAATGGGGAAATCCATGATTCAATCTACTGCTCTGCTACTCCAAATAAAAGAGACAATAGATCAATGATCCTCATATCTCAGTGAACTCAAGAGATTGTTTAGTTTTCCAGTTTAATACCTTTCCTCATCCTGACCCAGTTTTCTCATTGTTTCCATGTAGTTTAATAATGGGTCAAGCTACATCTGGGGTGTGCTGTTACATTCTAGGAATTACATTTTTAGAGAAATATAAGCTAGTGAGGAATTGTTCAAAGTGTACAATAGAGAGGGGAATCTCTATATATATAAACAAATTCCTGGATTTGAGTGTAAAGGGAATTTTTCTCTCCTTGTCACCACTGAACTGAGAGCTTAATGATACAGAGTGTGTCTGAACTCAAAATACATTTTAATAGCAGTGCCAAACATAAAAGCTTGGGGAACACTGAATTAGGGGGGAAGCAGTTATTGCTGCTCTCTTGTCTACCTCCTGCAAAGGCTGTGCTCTCTCCTTGTTTCTGTTCAGCACTCCGTGGGTTCTCTGCCTCTGTGTCCTCCACAGCACAGTAGTAAGTGGCAGCATCTGCCACCTGCACCTGGAGGATGAGCAGTGAAGAAGAGAATCGCTCATATGTCATGTTGTAGCGTCCCTCCTGAGAAGGTCTTGACCCCTTTACAAGGAGTCTTGGTGCACATCCTGGGAAATGGAGGTACCAGAAGAAGTTGTATGCATTGGATATCGAGTGATTACAGGAGATTTCCACCACAGCTCCCTCCGAAGACACCATGGTGGAGTGCTGAAATACCTGGTTCTTGTTCTCTGCAACTGCAGGAAACAAACAAAAAAGGCTGTGAGACTGATGCTGCTACTTGCTTGTTAATAGCCTTTTAGGTACAGTGAATATTAATAAATCTAATTTTTTTTTAATTGTCCAAATTTTAAAATAACGGCATACACTTTTCCAAGAACAGAGAGTGAAGAAAAAAGCCTACTCACCCATCCAGAGCGCGCTAAAGAGGAGCCCCAACCACACCACTTCCAGGGTGCTCTGCAGAGCGATAGCCATACCTCAGCTGGTCTCGGGCCTCAGCTGGTCTTGGCCTCCGCTGTGTGTGTGATGCTCACCAGCAAGCCGATTGAAGGCCTCCTATTTTACATTTTCTTCCTTGTGTCAATGACATCATCAGCCAGAATCTGTGAACTACAGAAGAGTGACTTCAGCTGTGAGGCTGCTTAAGAGTGATTTCACTTATGCTTTGTTCTGATCTTACAAGGGAATGTAGCTTTTCCGAGGTCACCACAGTTGTGCAAATTTAATCACTGAAGAAGCTTGCTTCATAACGGTAACAAAAGAAGTTACCTAATTGATGAGAGACTACTTCATTACTCATATTAAAGTGATGTATTCACACCAACAGTATACTGAACTTTTCACCTGTGATATGATGACATACTAACATGTTAAAAACAATGATTATGAAATTTTAGTAACTGGAAGGTACAAGTTGAGATATTTTTAAGGCACAAAAATTACTTTGTAAACATGCTCATCAAAATTTTACTCCTTGCATCCAACGTTGGTCTCTGGAAAAAATATAGAAAGAAAAATCTGATTATACTTTTCTGTAGCCAAAAGGGCCTGGGTCAAGGAAGCCCCAAAGGCTGCATTTGAAAATTATCTTTTTTGGATGGTACCTACCCTCATTTTGTAGCCTGAGATTATCCACTTTCTTATTAATACAGGGATTAATAGTTCTCCCTTTGGATTTTATTGTTTTAAACATATTTTCTTGGCATTTTATTTGAAAAAAGAAGAGTACCGTAAATAAGTTTTGTGACAATTCAAGAGTTTATGCAGCAGTTTTTAATGTGTAGCACCACCTAGTGGACTACCTGGGAACTGACGGAAAATCATTTCCCGAAACAGCCTCTGAGGGCTTGAAGAGATTTCATTCCTTTTGCTTTTGTTCAAACTGCTCATTCTTATTCAATTTCCATAGAGAAATGAAGGTTATCTACAGGAAATATGTGCCTTCTTAGAAACCTCTGGTTACCAAAGATGGTCTTCACTCGGGTGAGAGATTATTTAAACACATACTTGCACGGAATTAAATATGTCTTTCTCATCCTAAGGTGGTTGCTTGATTCATTTTATTTCCTTTTTCTTTTTTTTCCTTTTTTTTTTAATAATCTCACAAGTCAGGAGAAATCAGTTTTTTCCCTAATCTTTTTTCTTTTTTCACTGGTATATTCCTTAATTATGATAAGATTATTGTTTAGATTCAAGACACTTTTATTTCTATTTATAACCCCCAAAAGCTTCCAAAAAATACAAAATTGCAATGTGGTTATTAAATTAGAATGGAAAAAAAGTCAAAGAAAGTAGGCACATATTTCTTTAGTGGAAGGACTAATGTAGCCTCTGTGATTAAATTGAGCTCTGAAACTTCTGACAACTGAAGCATAAAAAGGAAACACAAAGGGAATACAATTATACAAATGAGCTGATTAAATGTGCAAGCAGCTTCCTCCTGCAGCTGAGGGGTATATAGCTATAGATGACTTGAAATTCTTTTTTAGATTACTGGTTAACATCTGATTCAAAGTTTCTTTTTTAAAAATATTTTTTATTGACTTTTTACAGAGAGGAAGGGAGAGGGAGAGTTAGAAACATCCATGAGAGTGAAACATCAATCAGCCATCTCCTACACACCTATTACTGGGAATGTGCCTGCAACCAATGACATACACTTTTTTTTCGATTCCAGTACATGCTCTTAACTGGAATCGAACCCAGGACCCTTCAGTCTGCAGGCCAATGCTCTATCACTGATCCAAACCGGTCAGGGCTGGTTCAAAGTTTCTAACCACTGCAAAATAGTTTAGCATGTGCTTCCTCTACATTTATTATGCAGTGCCCTGCATTTATTATGCAGACTCACAGGCTGCCTCCAACCCCCTCCAACACAGCAGTGAACATATTTTTATATTTCCCCTTATTAAAATTAGAATTTTCAGCAAGGATTGTCCAGTCATACTACATATACATACTAATTTCACTAATTAAACATTCAAACTAGTGATAGCGACATACACTTCTACCAGCAGGGCATGAGCATTCCAGGCTCATCAATGCTCAACAACAATCGGTATTGTAAAACTGCCTACATTTAATCAATATGCTGAGTGTGGAGTCTCATTTCAATTTGTATTACCTTTCTATTAGTGAAACTGAGCCATGTTCTCCTTTCCAATATTACCTATTCAAATGATTTGCCCAGCTAAGAAGGCCCTAATCTTTCACCGAGGGCTGACCTGGAAGCTGTGAAGGAAAGAGTGAGAACTAAGGCAGAGTTGTAAACTGCCCAAACCTGCACACAAAACCAGTGGCTAGGGCAGGAGATCTATTCATTCCAAACGTTTAAGGAAATCTCTGTCCAATTATGAGCTGGTCACAGGTTCAATTCCCAGTCAAGGGCATATACCTAGGTTTTGGAAGGCACCCAGTTGATATGTCTCTCTCATGTCAATGTTTCTCTCTCTCTCTCTCTCTCTCCCTCTCTCTCTCTCTCTCTCTCTCTCTCTCTCTCTCTCTCTATCTCTCTCTCTCTCTCTCTCCCCCCTTCCCTCCCTCCTTTCACTCTCTCTGTAAAAGCAATGGGAGAAAAATATCCTCAGGTGAGGATTAACAAAATTTTAAAAAATGTGCTATTACCATTTGTGATAGCATGGGTAGACCTAGAAGGTATTATGTTAAGTTAAAGAAATCAGAGAAAGACAAATACCATATGATTTTACTTATATGTGGAAGCTAAAAGAGCCAAAGAAAGAAAATAAAAGCACTCACTGATTCAGAGGTCAATCTGGTGGCCAGAAGGGAAGGAGGGGTTGAGGGCTGGGTGAAAAGGGTGAAGGGATTAAGAAGCATAAATTGGTACTCACTAAATACTCAGGGGGATATAAAATATGGCAATAGGGAATATAGACAATAATATCATAATAACTATGCATGGTGCCAGATGAATACTGGAAATATCAGGGGGAGCATTTTATAAAGTACATGATTGTTTAATCAGTATGTTGTACACCTGAAACCAATTCTTTTTAATAAAAGCTTAATTTGCTAAGTGTCCAACCATTTGTTTGACTCTTGACCAATCACTATGACACACACTGACCACCAGGGGGCAGATGCTCTGACCAGTAGGTTAGCTCAGCGTTTTTCAACCGCTGTTCCGCGAGATGTTGCCTGGTGTGCCGTAGGTGCAGACAAGACAAGAATTTTATAATTTTTCACTATTTTGTTTACTTAATATTTCATAATAAAGTAATTATAAAATACTTTCTTTGTGTTTATTTGATTCCTATTCAAGAGAATTACTTTATATATAGTCAATATAGGCACAGAGTTAAATTTTTTAACATTTTCTAATGGTGGTGTGCCTCGTGATTTTTTTCATGAAACAAGTGTGCCTTTGCCCAAAAAAGGTTGAAAAACACTGGGTTAGCTTGCTGCTGGGGTCCAGCCAATTGGGACTGGGTGAGATGGGCCAAACACAACCTAGTGCTCTCTGCAACCTTCCCCAGCCCCGACCGTGCACCAGTGGGGTTCCTCAGCTTGGCCTGTGCCCTCTCGCAATCCGGGACCCCTGAGGGGATGTCAGAGAGCTGGTTTCAGCCCCATCCCCGCAGGCTAGGCTGAGGGACACCACCAGTGCACAAATCCATGCACTGGGCCTCTAGTACAAAATAATACTGAATGTAAACTGTAATTGAATTTTTTTAAATCTCATAAAGAGCTGGGGCCTAGATGGCTTCATTGGTAAATTGTACTGAATGCTTAAAGAATGAACCCCAATCCTACACAAACTTCCAAAACAGAACAGGAGGGACCACTTTTCATCTTACAATTATAAGAGAACAGTGCTAAGAACGTTCATGATTCTTCCCAAGCCTCATTCTCCTAAAACTTCTGAGACCACTTCTTTTCTTCTTCCCTTAGTTTTCTCCTTTTACTTGGGTATCCTATAAGGTTCCATTTCCAGACCTTTATCTCCTACTCTTTATCTTTCTGCCATACCTGTATCTCTCTGGTAGTCATTTCAAAGACAAAACTTTGGGGAAGTAGGTGAAAATTTTATTTTTAAATAACTCTCTAACCTGACAGGACTCTAACATCAAAGCAGTAATTCTCAGGGATATTGTTGTTGTCCCCAAATTCCCATTTAAATGCTAAACCGTTCTCTGGAGTGTGACTAGACTTTGTGATTCTATGACCCCTCGATGTGCTCTGTGTATTAAGTCATTTCCATAAGTTAATCACCTCATAACCACAACATTTTTAACAAGGTCCACTTGGGAACCCAATCCCCTTTATCAACTGTTATTCTCACCACAGAGAAGCATTTAGAAACCAGGGAGTAATCAGTGAGAGCAAGAGTTATAATGAACTGCTAGAGGTAGCCTCTTATCTGTGATGTTGGCATGCCCAGAAAACACAGGAGATTAATTTAAAAGTTGGATTTCCCTCTGGATCACTTTAACAGTTAGTCCCTATTGAACTGTAATTTGCCAAAAGTAACTAAACTCTAGACTTCTTCCTCACCTGAACTTTATGTGTGTTCCAGTTACAAACACCTAGCCTCTTGAGTGCCATTTGACCCCAACAGAGCAGAAGCAATTTACAACCCTACAACCCTGCTCCTTTGTGCATAGCTGCCTTTATCATTAAAAGAAAACATTATGCAGAGAGGATTTTTAATCTAGATTGTGGTTAACTACTTGACTAGGGCCCTGTGTGGGTAGTTAGTCCATACAGTTCACTCATTCTTTTCCTTTCCCAGCTGAATTAGTCTGTCGTCTTGGGCCCACCTGGGATGAGGTTCAAAATAATAAATTCTTATCCTCTAAGAAACTTGGAACTGGACAAAGTCTTCGAGTCTACCTGCCGAAACCCGTTCGTTTTATAGGAGAGAAAATCAGGCCTTTCAGAAACTTACGCAGCTTGCTTAAGAGTACCCAGGAAGTTTGTGATTGAACCAGATCTAAAACTATCATCTCCTATTCAGTGTTCTAACAAAAATTGTAAGAGTGTCTGCCACCTGAAGAGAAATATAGAAGGGGGGAAAAAGAGATTGCTTTCATTTAATTTTGGTTAGGAAAATATAAAAGCCTATATCCTATTATTTCTTACTT